GGTTCAACTAGAACTTTTCTATGTCTCCACACCCACCAGCCATTCCTTAGGTAAAAGATGAGGCTGCCTGTCCCCATAAAGATTTACAGTCTCAGAACCCTGTACAGGGTCACTGTGAGTCGGAATCAACTCAATGGCAGAGGACTAGGTTTCACCTTGTACTCTGGAGTCTCTGCGTGGTGCAAACAGTTCATGTTCTGAACTGCTACCTGAAAGGTCGGCAGTTTGAGTCCATCCAGAGACATTTTGGAAGAAAGACCTGGTGACTTCCAACCCCCCAAATCAGTCATTGTAATGTCTTTGCGCACACTTCTACTCTGACAGGCACAGGGTCACCATGAGTCAAAGTCATCTAAACAACTTTTTTTTAACTCACTACCCTAGCTCTGGAGCCCTGGTGTGACACTGTAGGACATGCACTGGACCGCAAGGTTGGTAGTTCAAACTCACCAGCCACGCGTCTCCAAAACCCTACACCTGGTTGCTCTGATTCAGAACCAACTCGACAATACTTACCAACAACCCTAGATCTGTTCTTCCAGGTATACATTTATTTCTGTTAGTTTCCTGCTCTTCTAAACTGTCAACTCAAAAGGCAATCTGCAGTATGCTGCCTGCAAGAGATACACCTTAGACACACAAAGAGCAAAGCAGACTAAAAGTTAGAGGATGGAAAAATATATACCAAGCTAATTGCAATAAAAAACGAGCAGGAGTGGCAGTACTAATCTCTGATAAAATAAACTTTAAGGCAAAAACCAGCATAAGAGAGAAAGAAGAACACTATGTCATGATTAAAGGGCCAGTTGAGCAAGATAACATTACCATAATAAATATCTGTGCTCCCAATGAAAGCGCACCAAGATATATATAAAGTAAACCGTACTAGAATTGAAGAAAGAAATAGACAAATCTGCAATTATAGTGGGAGATTTTACTATACCACTTTCAAAAAGAGATAAAACCCAAAAGAAACTCAACAAAGATACAGAGGAACTAAACAGCACAATCCACCAACTTGCCCTCATAGATGTGTACAGAGCATTCAACCCAACAGCAGCACAATGCACATTCTTTTCCAGTGCACATAGAACATTCTCCAGAATTGATCATGTGTTAGGCTACAAAGCAAGCCTCCATAAATTTACAAACATCAAAATACTACAAAGCATCTTCTCAGACCACAGTGCTATAAAACTAGAAATCAACAAGAAGAAGACTAAGGAAATACAGTTGAATACATGGAAATAGAATAACACCCTGCTGAAAAGGTAGTAGAAGAAATTAAACGTGAGCTCACAAAGTTCCTAGAAACAAATGAGAACAAAAACACAACATACCAAAATCTTTGGGGCATGGCGAAAGCAGTGCTGAGAGGACAATTTATTGCAAAAGGCAGACTGCAGCCCCCTCTCTCCCCCTAACCTAGGCCAATCTTGGGAGTGAATCCAGAGCCCCTTCTAGCTATGTCCCCACCACTGACTCTTGCCCCTCCATCACTCTCTTGTCCTCTCAAGTGATCAGACCTGGCCAGCCCACCAGCCATCTGCGCTTGTGGCCCGTTGTTCTGCCACCCTTCTCTGACTTCTCATGCCCATTACGCTGCCAAGTCAGATGAGGGGTCACGTCCTCCAAACGATGTTCCCTGGCCCTGCCCTCCTCCTTGGTCAGCTCCACATATGTGAGTGCCATTTATGCACACACTCCTGCTCTGTACCTTTCCTCCTGGTGATGCTGGTGCCATCAGGTACCTAAGTGGTCTCATCAGTATGGAAGTCCCATGAGGGGAGTTCCTGGCCTCTCTGATTCCCAACACTCCTGGTGGGGCCTCCATCAACAAATCATTGAATCTTCTGAGTTTATCTCTGTCCCGCCATCCTATTAATTTCTTACGTGCAAACATGGAAAACAAAGTGTCTCTTTCATCTCTGGAGCCCAGTTCCTGGCACACGGTGAGCACTCAGTACAGGTTAGGTCCGGGGATGGTTGGTGTTAATCTTTTCATGGGAGGACTTTCAGAAGCCCCAATGGGGCCTGACTGTTCTTGGGTGTGAGCAGCAAGCAGGTGTGCCAGGTGGCTTCTGGACAATACTGTTTGTCAGAGCGCATTGTTGGGGGCCGTCGTTGATAAAATGATACCTCCTCATATTGAATCATCACTACAGCCCCAGGAGAAGTCGTCATCTCTCCGTGTTACAGGCCAGAAATGGAGGCTCACCAGGTCTCACTGCAGGACGTGGGGAGGACATATATGTGAAAGAAATGTCCAGTACAAGGTAGTGTGAGACAAGTTCCAAAGAGTGGGTTTGAACCACTGACCTTACAGCTCTAAATGAACTTGCGGTCCATTGCATTATTCTGCAGTACCACATAAATGTCAGTCAACCGCTTGAGGTGCAGACTGGATTTAAAGTGCCATACATTTGGCAGAATTTTAGGTGCACTGGTGGTGCAGTGGTTTAAGCACTGGGCTGCTAACTGGAAGGTCAGCGATTGGAACACACCAGTGTTCCTTAGAAGAAGACATCTGCTTCTGTGAGAATATGCAGCCTCGGGGGACCCTATGGGGCGGTTCTGCTCGACTCCGAAAGGTTGCTAGGAGTCAGAATCAACTGGACAACAGTGGATTTGTCCCCCCCTCCCTTTTTTTTTTCCTTTGCAGAATTTGTATATGATTTGTTTTCACATAACATGCCTCTGGGTAGGGAGACTGTGGGAAAAGGAGCTATCAACACCACCCACTTAATTTCTGGAGGTAGAAAAGGACATTACGTTTGCCAAAGTAGAGAATCAGTAGACCAGTGAGGGAAACCCTCATTAGATGGATTGACAGACAGAAGGCTCAAACACCCAGTGCTCACGAGGAAGACATAGAACCGGGCGGTGCTTCATTCTGTTACACAGAAGGTTGCCATCAGTCAGAGCGGACTGGATGACAGCTCACAGCTACATCGGCCTAGGAAGTCACCTCTCCAAAATATGTCTGTTGGTCGTCAGATGGCCTTGAGTGGGTTCCGCCTCCTAGTGCCCCTGTGCACCACAGGCTGAAGCGTTCCCCGCTCTGCACCACCCTCATGAGCCATGCTGTATTGGAGCCCATTGTTACAGCTACTGGGTCAGTCCACCTCTTGGAGGGTCTTCATCTTTTCTGCTGACACTCATGTTTCTTTATCCCACGATTGGGCCTTCCTCGTGGCGTGTCCACAGTAAGTGAGACGGAGTCTTGGCCATCCTTGTTCCTAAGGAGCTTTCTGGCTGTATTTCCTTCTGGCAGTCCATGGTATGTTTTGTATCCGTTACCAACACCACAATTCAAATGCATCAGTTCTCCGATCTTCCTTTATCATTGTCCAGATTGACATACATATGAGGCGATTGAAAGTACCATGGCTTGGGTCAGGTGCACTTTAGTCTTCAAAGTGATTTTGCTTATTATTAGCACTTGAAAGAGGTCATTTTGCAGGAATGGCTACATGATTTGTCGGGCCTACTGCAAAAACGAAAGTACAGCATCCCCTTGTTCAAAAATTAGGAAACTCAGGATGGCGAGGTGTGACTGGGACATCTGCCCAGAAACCAGCCCTGCCCCCAAATCTGGCAGCTGTTGAGTAGGACTGACCTAGGTCACTTTACAGCCTTGAGGCCCACCCTCACAGGGACCACTGAGGATTAAATGAGAAATGTCTACCCCACAACAGTGAAGTTATTGTACACTGCTAATTACGTCAGGGGTAAAGTCTAATGAGAGGGTGTCTGCTTAGCAATAATGTATAGCAACGACAGATGAAATTCAAAATAACCTAAGCAGATCTGGTTTTCCTCCATGTCATGTGACACCTTTGGAGATCCTCCGAGAAGGGAAAGTGCTTTCCAGGCTCAGGCAGGGTATGGGCAGGACTGCAGACGTGGAGCCTCCTGCTGGGGGCAATACTTCTGTCCTGACCCCTTTTAGATCTGAGCAACAGTGCAATAGAAGAAGGAAAAGGGTGAGGTAGGATTTAACTGCTTTCGTCCATAGAAACCTTTTGGCCAGAAGAAATTGGTAAACCTCATTTGAACACTTTTTGTGAAAATAATCAGGAAATGGAGTTTTTTTTTGTTTTTTGGAAAGCCTCCTTGTGAAAGGTAAATGCTCAAGGTAAAGGTACTGCCTGCCACTCCCTGGTCTGTGGTACAACATGACTAGTGACTTCAAACCTGCAGAAGTGTACATGCGGCTCGAGCCCAGAGAAGCTGAGCAGCGGACTAGCAGCGGTGAGGCCTTTGTGCCACATTTAGCCGATGTCAAGATAGGGTGTTGGGTGCCTTCGAGTCAACTCCGACTCATAGGGACCCCATGTGACAAAGTTGAATTGCCACCAAGGGTTTTCTTGGCTGGAATCTTTAAAGGAGATCACGAGGTCTTTGTCCCACCAAGTCATAGTGGGTATCTGAGCCACCAACTTTTTGGTTAGCAGCCAAGTGCTCCACCTTTTCCACTCCCCCCCCCCCCAAAAAAAAAGGATCCAATGAGATCAGGTGATGGTAAAGAGATTCCAGCTGCTATGGCTCTTGAGAATTGCTGTTAAGTGCCATCGAGTCGATTCCAACCCATTGCAACCCTGTATAGGGTTTCTAAGGAGCAACTGGTGAGCTTGAACCACCGACCTTTCAGTTCGAAGGGACTTTGCACTCCAGTGCATTAACCCACATCGCCACAGGTTGTTTAAAAATCAGCAATGTTCTCTTTGTTTCAGATTGAACGCTAGATTACTTGCAGGGCTGAAGGTAATTCTGAGTTTCTCTTCCATGAACCCCAACACAAAGAAAACCTGACGAGCAATTGCTGATTTTTCATTGCTAGTATGATCCCAAGAACAACTGCTGGCCTTGTTTAGAGAGTGGAGGCCGTGTTCAAGGCTGATTGATCATTTGGTCCAGCTCCTAAGGATGTGGTGTTTGAGCCTGAAGCTCTCGGATTTCTGGTTCTCCATGCTCTCATGTGTTTGTTGTTTTCACAGGGCGAACGTTCCCGACGCATCCGTACTTCTCTGCCCAGCTGGGTGCAGGGCAGCTATCCCTGTACAACATTCTGAAGGCCTACTCACTGCTAGACCAGGAAGTGGGGTACTGCCAAGGTCTCAGCTTTGTGGCAGGCGTTTTGCTGCTTCACATGAGTGAGGAGGAGGCCTTTAAAATGCTCAAGTTTCTTATGTTTGACATGGGACTGCGGAAACAGTATCGGCCGGACATGATTATTTTACAGGTACCCAGCATTCCTTTGCCTATGGTAAAGACTTGCTAAAAAAACCCATGGTCCCATCCCAGATCTATGGCGGGAGATTGTCACCCTCTGTGAGCATTGCAATAGGTCTCACTGCTGATAGCTTATTTGGTTCCAGGTATTGTATATGCATTTATCACCATAGTAACCCAGGGAAACTATGCATCAGCTCAGTGTGGGGGTGGGGAAACTAAGGCACAGAGAGGTTATGTCTCTTGATCAGGTCACACAGCCAGCAAGCCCAGGCTGTCTGACTCCAGAGCTGCCCTCTGATGCCCTCAGGAATCCTGATTAAACAACTCTCTCAACCATCTTCCTGTTGCCAACAAACCACCTCCAAAGCATAGCAACTGCAGGGGTATCAGGTACTCCACAGGTTGTTAGTAGCTAGATTTTTCAGAAGTAGATCCCCAGACCTGCCTTCTAAGGTTCCTGCAGGTGGATTCAAATCTCCAACTTTTCAGTTAGCAGCCGAGCGTGTTAACCATTAGCACCACCCAGGGGCTCCCAAACCATCTTGGGGAGATCTAATTCCTGCTTCAGAGCCTTTGCACTCACTGTTTTCTCTGCCAGTCATCTCCCCTCTCTGCTTGCTTCACTTGCCTATGGTCTTGTCATCCTGGGTTCAGCTCAGATACCACATCCTGGGAGAAGTCGTTCCCCTACCTTCACCCCCAGGCACACTCTGTCCTAGTCTCCTGTTTCATTTCTTTTACACACTGTCTGTCTGAAATGATCTTTTTTGTTTGCTTGTTCACTTACCAGAGTCCGGATGTGGTGCTGTAGGATAAGCCCTGGACCGCAAGGTCAGCGGTTTAAACCCCCCAGCCACTCCTCAGAAGCCCAATACACAAAGTCGCTGTGAATCAAAACTGACTCGACGGCACTTAACTAGAACATCACTCACTTACCAGGAACCCTGGTGGTGCAGTGTTTTAAGCACTCAGTTACTAACTGAAAGATGGTTGGTTTGAACAGCTGCTCCTCAGGAGGAAGATATGTCAGTAATCTACACCCATGAAGATTTACAGCCTGGGGAACCCTATGGACGGTTTCACTGTGCACTCTAGGCTCGCTGTGAGTTGGAATCGACTCACAGGCAATGGCGGTTCATTCACCTGCTTGTTTTATGACTTTCCTTAGCTTATCAGTTTTATAAAGGGAGGAAGCGTAGTCTTCTTAGAACTGTGTCCCTAGTTCCTAAACAATAGCTGGGATGAAGTAGGCACCCAGTCAGTATTTGTTGGATGAACTCATCTAAAGAGAAGTAGACAAAGAGGTGTGTTCGGAGTGCCTAGTAGTCCCTCTGCTGCCTGTCAGAGATGTGGTGCCCACTGTCTCTGCTTCCAGAACAGTTCTAAACCTTACTTGAGATGTTGAGAGCATGTGTTTATGTAGTCACTGACCAAGAAGGTACTGTGATTTCAGAGCTGGAAAGCATCCTTGGGAAGGGCATATTATAGCCGAGGACTCTCTCAGAACACCCAGATCCTCTCCCCTGGAGCCTTGACCATGAACAACATGACACAGAATTTCCTAAAAGGAAGCCATATCATTCATTCCCTGAAAGATGGTGACCCAAACACTCTGCACACAGTGTCAGGCTCTTCCTACTTTCTCCTCTATTCGCTTAATGTGGGGCACCTGTCTTAGGAGGGAGAAGTGGAATTTTGTGAGTTTTAGTCCATTTAGTGTCATAGCACTTTCTGCGATGATGGCCTTAGTGGATTAGACTTTTCTGGGGACAGTGCCGTTTGGATTTCTTCCTTTAATGCCACCAATTCTTTGTCATATGCTGTCTCATAAATTGATTTGATGGGCAAATACTGAATGATGCAAAAACATCAAAAGAAGATGGAGTACACAGAGTCACTGTACCAAAAGGAAATGATTGATGGTCAACCATTTCAAGAGGTAGCTTATGATCAAGAGCTAATGATACTGAAGGAGGAAGTCCAAGGTGCACTGAAGGAATTGGCAAAGAACAAGGCACTGGGGATTGATACAACACAAATTGAAAACCGACCTAAAAGGAGTCAGTGCCCAAGCCTTTGAAAGCCATCTCTTTTTCTTCCAGTGTAAAGAGTGCTTCTCTGGTTTATAGCATCTCCTCAGGGGCTTGCTTCTCTCTAGGCTGGGCTGACACTAGGACTTCTGGGAGCCCTGGGACTCCTCCTGGAGCTGCTGGGAACTTGCTTCCTGCCAGAATGTTGTCATTCCCTGAAACCAGGGGTGGGGGTGTTAAGTTCAAGTTCAACTTTAGTTGGAAAAGGTCATTTTCTGCATCTTGACGTCAGCTCATTGTCTCATTTTATCTTGCCCATTATCTGTGTATTTGATTTGATATGGCCTAAAGAAGCCACACTTTTCCTGCTCATTGAGTGATCCGGAGTGAGTGGTGGGGGTCCAGAAGGAATTTATTAAGTGTGCATGTGTGGTAGAACCCTTCTCCAGAATTGTAATATGCCCTCAGTTCACTCTGAGCAGAGAGGCTGGCTTTTTTCTAATCCCCTTGGGTTTGAGTTTTAAGAATGTGTATTTGTAGGAGGATGTACTAAATATTTCCAGGAGGCAGATGTTTAGATTCTCTTAGCCAAGGAACACAGGAAACAATAAAAGGAGAGGCGGTTGTGTAGGAGACCCGCATTAGTGTCGCAGAGGCTGCACCTAGCTCCGTGGCCCACATACAGAGACACCACACAGATACTTGCTGGATCAATTGGTAGCTGAGACCAATGGATATTGCAAGCCATATAGACTTTCTAGTGTTCTCCAATTCGTCTCTTAAAATGTACTGACACTCTTGGAAGCGCTTCCATCGGCAGGATGTATAACTATGCCAATTGCAGATTACCTAATTGTGAATGTAAATGGGCACATATGTTCCTGCAGATCCAGATGTACCAGCTCTCCAGGCTGCTTCACGATTACCACAGAGACCTCTACAATCATCTGGAAGAGCAGGAGATTGGCCCCAGCCTCTATGCCGCCCCCTGGTTTCTTACCATGTTTGCTTCCCAGTTCCCACTGGGATTTGTAGCCAGAGTCTTTGGTAAGTGTTGTAAATGTCTCAGCCAGAACCAATAAATGAGAAAACCTGTCTCATCACTCCATGGAGATTTGTACGTTTATGCCTTTTGCAAGAAGAAAGTGTTCTTTGACTTTCTAAGTTCAGTTGGGGTTGTTGTTGTTAGGTGCTGTAGAGTCGGTTGTGATGCATAGCGACCCTATACACAACAGAAGGAAACACTGCCCGGTCCTGCCCCAATCGTCATTACACTTAAGCCCATTGCTGCTGCCACTGTGCCAATCCATCTCCTTGGGGATCTTCCTCTTTTTCATTGACCCTCCACTTTACCAAGCATCATGTCCTCCTCCAGGGATAGGCACCTCCGATAACAAGTTCAAAGTATGATAGATATGGTCTTGCTATCCTGACTTCTAAAACATATTCAGGCTACAACTCCTTCAACATGGATTTGTTTGTTCTTTTGGCAGTCCACGGCCTCAACATTCTTCTCCAACATCACATCTCAAATTTATCAGTTCTTTGGTCTTCTTATTTATTGTCCACCTTTCACATGTATATGAAAATACCACACCTTAGGTCAGGCACACCTTAGTCCTCAAACTGATAATCTTTGCTCTTGAATACTTGAAAGAAGTCTTGTGCAACAGATTTGCCTAATGCAATAGTCATTTGATTTCTTAACTGCCGCTTCCATGAGCGCTGATTGAGGATCAAAGCAAATGCAATGTTTCCCAACTTCAGTCTTTTCTACAATTTATCTTGATGTTATTTATTTGTCCAGTGGTGAGGACTTTTGTTTTCTTTACTTTAAGGTGCAACCATACTGAAGGCTGTAGTCTTTGATCTTCATCAGCAAGTATGTTAAGTCCTCATAACTTTCAACAATCACGATTATATCATCTGCATATTGTAGGTTGCTACTGAGTCTTCCTTCAATTCTGATGCCACATTGTTTTTAATATCCAGTTTCTCAGATGATTTGCTCATCATACAGATTGAATAAATATGGTGAAATGATACAGCCCTGATGTACACCTTTCCTGATTTTAAATCATTCAGTATCCCCTTGTTCTGTTCAAATGCCTACCTCTTGATCTACCTACAGGTTCCTCATAAACACAATGAAGTGTTCTAAAATACCCAGTCTTTGCAATGTATGTGTAGTTTGTCATGATCCAGGTAGTTGAAAGCATTTGCATAGTCAACGAAGCACAGGTAAACAGCTTTATGGTATGCAGCCAAGATCCATCTGACATCAGCAATGATATCCCTCATTCTGTGTCCTTGCCTGAATCTGCCTTATACTTCTGGCAGTACTCTGGCTATGTACTGTTGCAGCCATTTTTGAAATATATTTAGCAAAATTTTACTTGTATCTGATATTAATGATATTGTCGATAATGCCTGCATTCCATTGAGTCACCTCTCTTTGGCATGGGCACAGATATGGATCCCTTCCACTTGGTTGACCAGGCAACTGTCTTCCAAATTTCTTGGCACAGATGAGTGAGCATCTCCAATGCTTCATCAATTTGTTAAAAAATATTTCAATTTCAGTTCCTAGAGCCTTTTTTTCACCAGTGCCTTCAGTGCAGCTTGGACAACTGCCTTTAGTACCATTGGTTTTTAATCAGATGCTATTTCTTGAAATATGATAGGCAAAATATTCAATGATGCAAAAACATAGAAAGAAGATAGAAGGAATACGCAGAGTCACTGTACAAGAAAGAAATGGTTGATGTTCAACCGTTTCAAGAGGTAGCATATGATCAAGAGCCAGTGATACTTAGGGAGGAAGTCCAAGGTGCATTGAAGGAATTGGCAAAGAACAAGGCACCAGTATGGGTTGCACCTTGGTGTGAAGAAAAAAATCCTTATCCCACTGGACCAGTAAAGAGCATTGTGAAAAATGGAGAAAAGATTGACGTTGTCAAGGACTTAATTTTTCTTGGATCAACTATCAATGTTCATGAACGCAGCAGTCAAGCAATCAAATGACATACTGCATGAGGCAAATCTTCTGCACAAGACCTCATTAAAGTGTTGAAGAGCAAAGATGTCAGTTTGAGGACTAAGGTGTACCTGACCCAAGCCATGGTATTTTCAGTAGCCACATATGTAGGTGAAAGTTGGACAGTGAATAAGGAAGACCATAGAACTGATGCATTTTAGTTCTGATGTTGAAGAAGAGAAGAATATTAAAAGTATCGTGGCCTGCCTGAAGAACAAACAAATTTGTGTTATAGAAAGTACAGCCAGAATGGTCTTTGGTGGTAGTTGGTAGTTATGTGTCATGGAGTCGGTTCCAACTCATAGCGACCCTGTACAGGGTTTCCGAGGCTGTGAATCTTTATGGGAGCAGAAAGCCTCATCTTTCTCCTGTGGAACAGCTGGTAGTTTTGAAATGCTGACCTTGTGATTTGCAGCCCAAATGGTCCTTAGAAGCCAGGAATGTGAGACTTCATCTCTTATACTTTTGATATTATCAGGAGAGACCTGTCCCTGGAGAAGGACATCATGCTTGGTAATGTGGAGGGTCAGGGAAAAAGAGGAAGACCTCCAACAAGATGGACTGGCATAGTGCCAGTAGCAGTGAGCTCAAGTGTAATAAAGGTTGTGGGTCGATGCAGGAAAGGGCAGTGTTTCGCTCTGTTGTGCATAAGCTTAGTATGAGTCAGAACCGACTTAGAGTACCTAGTAACAACACCTTGAAATGGTTGAACATCAACCACTGCTTTTTGCTACAGTAACTCTGTACTAAAAACCAAAGGATGTTTTCTGCATCATTCAATCTTTTGCCCGTTGTTGTTAAGTGCCATTAAGCTTCTTCTGACTCATAGCATTCTTGTGTAGGATTTTTCCAAGGAGCAGCTGGTGGGTTTGAACCACCAACCTTGTAGTTAGCAGTCCAATTTTAATCCTACAACACCACATCAATAACCTGCTTTGCCCTCAGAGCCCTTCAGTATTGGAAGTTGAAGCTTGAATTTTTTTTCTGCAATTCTTTCAGTTGAGAAATGCTGAGCGTGTTCTTTCCTTTTGGTCTTCTAACTCCAGATCTTAGCACATTTCATTATTAGGATTTGGTTTTGTGACTTTCAAGACCTGTTTTATTTTTTATAACCCTTAGACTTTTCTTAGATGTTTTCAGTCTTACAAGATTTACTTAAGTTTCCCTCAAAACAGGGCTCTCTGTAGAGCAGACATTTTTAAGACTTGGTCAGAGTCCCAAGCATTAGAACCTCATGGATATATTTCTCAGCATCTCTAGTTTGTGACTTCACTGACTGATCAGAAACAAAATCTAACTCGTTGCCATCAAGTCAAATCTGACTCATGGCAACCCCGTGTGTGCAGAGTAGAATTGTGTGCCATAGAGTTTTCAAAGCTGTGCTTTTTCAGAAGCAAGTGGCCAAACCTTTGTGCTTCTGCTTTTTTGCAGAAGCAAGTCAGCAGGCATCTCTGGGTGGGTTTGAACCATTGCTCTTTTGATAAGTAGTCAAGCACTTAAGTGTTGTGTCTCTCACAGCTTCTGTGTTGACCAATAGCTCCTTAACTCTCCTCCAAGCCCTCACCCGTGACTTCTGGGTTACTGTTCTTCATAAATTCCTTTCTCTTTCCTCCTCTCTCCCCTTTTCCTCCCTTGATTTTACATTCTCTCCTTAGTCACGCTCTCTGTCTTGTCTTTACTTTTTATTGTGCATTGGGTCAAAGTTTACAGAGCAGATCAGCTGTCTATTCAATAATGCACACCTGTTTTGTTTCATGTCACATCGTTTAGCCCACTTCCTCCTTGTGTTTCCCATTTGTATTCCTCCTTCTTTCCTAACCCTTCTGAACTCTGCCCTTTCACGAATGCTGCCTTTTTAAAACTCTCAAGTGGTTGATTGTTTTAAGGTGTAGATACCTCCCTAGTGTCATTGTTCTCCTTATAGACCTGTCTATTGTTTGGCTGAAAGTTGAATGATGGAGGTGAGTTGATTTCCAGACCTGAAGAGCTACTAAGGGCTTTAGTCTCAGGGATTATACCAGGCTCTATCTGACCAGTAAGCCTGATCTACTTTGTGATTTTGAGTTTTGTTCCACATTATTTTTCCTACGCTATCCCGGACCTTCTAATGCGATCCCTTTCAGAAAGGATGGTATCGGTTGCTGGGCATCATCTAGTTCTTATTCAGGGTCCTGGAGCCTGATGCTCCAGTGGTCCAGGAGTTGGAGTGGCTCCCGTCCTCATTGTGGACATCTCACTTGTGCTGCCAGCCTCATCGTCCCAAACATCAGAGACCACTTCTGCGCCCTCAGTGTAGCCTTCGACAGCTCACATCTAAAGCCATCCCCTATTAGAGAAGATTATCTCTGTCAAAGTTACGTAGGCATTCTCATGCGTGTCTGGAGATGGCAGGAATAGGGCCATTCTCTTGGGCAGCAGGGGCCTAGTGAGTTCCTGCTATCCAGTAGAGTGGTGGGCAGTCAGCTCTTGTATAGCTGCTTTCTCTATTTCAAAATGAAAGGATTCTTTTTGATGATTCCAATTTTCTTTATTTCAGTGTGTATCTTAAAGCTTTCTCTAGAGAAACAGATCTCATAAAATTAATCTTTCTTTCTGTGTGTATGTAGACATAGATGTGGATGGCACAGTGGGTTATTCCTTGGGCTTCTAACTGCAAGGTCAGCAGTTTGAAACCACCAGCCGCTCCATGGAAGAAGGATCAGGCTTTCTGCTCCTGTAAAGATTTACAGCCTCAGAAATTCTGTTCAGGGTCACTGTGAGTCAGAACCCTTTCAAAGGCATTTAACAGCAACAGCAGTATGGAAACACAGTGAGAGAGGGAGAGAGAGGATTTAAAGAATTGACTCACACAATTTAGGTGGCTAGCAAGTCTAAGGAACCCCGGTGGGTTATGTGTCAGGCTCCTAACCGAAAAGTCAGTGGTCTGAGACCATCAACAACCACTGCACAAGAGAAAGATGTGGCAGTTTGCTCTCCTAAAGATGAAGCTTCGGAAACCCTAGGAGACAGT